AACATCATGATAAACAGAAAAGATTGAAGTTGTCAAGGATTTCATTGTACTTGGTTCCACAATCAACACCCATGGAAACAGCAGTCAAGAAATCAAACGACACATTGCATTGGGCAAATCTGCTGCAAAAGACCTCTTTAAAGTGCTGAAAGCAAAGATGTCACCCTGAAGACTAAGGTGAACCTGACCCGAGCCATGGTATTTTCAACTGCTTCATATGCATGCGAAAGCTGGACGATGAATAAGGAAGACCAAGGAAAAATTTACACCTTTGAATTGTGGTGTTGGTTAAGAATATTGAATATACCATGGACTGCCAGCAGAACGAACAAATCTGTCTTGGAAGAAGTACAACCAGAATGCTCCTTAGAAGCAAGGATGGTGAGACTATGTCTCACATACGTTGGACATGTTATCAGGAAGGATCAGTCCCTGGAGAAGTACATCATGCTTGGTAAATTATAGGGTCAGTGAAAAAGAGGAAGGCCCTCAATGAGATGAATTGACATGGTGGCTGCAACAATGGGCTCAAGCATAACAACTATTGTGAGGATGGCTCAGGACCAGGCAGTGTTTCATTCTGTTGTATATAGGGTCACTGTGAGTTGAAACCAACTCGACAGCACCTAACAACACAACATAAAACAAAAAATAACATGGGTAGTTCAACCATGTATACAAGACTAAATGGGCACACCTGCCCAGGGGCAAGGACGAGAAGGCAGAAAGTACAGGAAAGCTGGGCAAATGTAAATGAGGAACCCAAGGTAGAGAAGCGGAGAGTGTTAATATGCTGTGGGGTTCGCAACCCATGTCACAAAACAATATGTGTATTAATTGCTTAATGAGAAACTAATTTGCTCTGTAAACTTTCACCTAAAGTACAATTTAAAAAATGTTTATTAAGATGGCACTCTAGGCAGAAGCACCACGCCATCCCTCCACAGCAAAGATCAAAAAAACTAAGCCAAACAGAGAAAACAGCAGTCCTGAAACCCGAAAACAGCAGTTCTGAAACCCTAAAACATCAAATGAAAACATAAAGAACTCAGCCAAGCACCAAATGGAGTGATAAAATTGACAGAGAACGGAGAGTGAGGAGAGATTCATGCAGCAGTCCCCTACCAGCTAACGTAGCGTGGATCCGCCATCTTGGACTCCTATCAGAGACCAGCAAATAGGGAGTATGAGAAAGTAGCTTCACGGAGCTTCCAGCAGGAGACAGAACAACCGGTAATTGGCGATATACACTCTCCCACCCCCCACCCTTCTTCACCCCCACTCAGCCTCCTTTGCTTCCCGCGGCCACAGTCTCTTGGCCAGGAAGCACCGGCTGCTTGGATTCCACCCACCCGCACTGGCCGACTCACTGAGTGCCATTTGTTGGCTGCTGGTGTCACTTTTTTCCACTTCTTTTGATTTCTTCCTTATCTCTCACCACCTCCCCCTCCTTTCGCTCAAATACCTGGCTCTGTGTGCCATCTTTGCTTCTTCCTAAGGGGCTGCGGAGCTCCGTTCGAGTGTGGAACTGCTTCCTGGTCTGGGCAGCCACGCTGGTGGGATCCCGGGGCTTTTGTTTGTTTGTTTTGAATTGTTTGTTTGTTTTCCTTTTGTCGAGTTGGGAGCCCTTTCCGGCCGGGCAGTGCCATGCGGCTTGTGACCTACCCCCTCAGCTTGTGCAGACGCGCAGAGGGATCCCTGAGGGTATTTCTTTTTTCATGGTTTTTTTTCCGTTCTTAGGGGGGCTTTTCTTGTTCTTTTTTTTTTTAATTTGTTTTGTTTTCTTTTCCCTCTTTTTCCCTTTCTTCATTACTCAGTTTCTCATCTCTCTGTACCTTCCTTCTCTTCCTGGTCTCTGAATACCTGGTGCTGAATACCTCTACTCCTTCTAGCCAGGCTGTACTGCAACACCTGGGAACAACTTCCCCAGATCTCGTAGCGGCACCAGTGGGATCCCTGGGAGCTTTGCTGTTCTTTTTCCTTTTTAATTTTTTATTTATTCATTCTTTTCTTTTTTTTCTTCTTCTTCTTCCCCTTTTTGTTTTTCTCCATTTCATAGTCTCTCATTGCTCCACTCCAATGGCAAGCTCCCCTAGCACTGTTTTTTGTTTGTATGTTTTTGGCTCCTGTTCCTCTCTCCTCTATCCCATACCCATCTTAGTTCCACACATCACGATCTCCCCCTCCATCCTGCCTATCTGCACCGTTCGCTTAACATCACACCACCAAGCAGCACAGGCATAGCCTACCGGAACCTACCTTGCACTGATCACCGACCCACCCTGGTGGCTGTAGTAAGTGCCACAAACAACCCATCCCAGCAACTCCTCTTCAGCTAGACCTGCCCTGCTGTACCATATCTGAGCAACTGACCCTGCCAATTGGAGAAGGAGGTGAAAAGTATCATGCCCACGGACGAGTAAACAACAAAGAACACACAGCCCGCCTGCTCAGACATAGCCAAATTTTTTAAAAAAAAGGATGAAACAAACAAATCTACAATCAATAAATGAGAAAAATAACTACTGAATGCCCGGAAGACAGTAGACAATATCAAAACATTTACAAAAACAGGATAGGATGGTTTCAGTAGGCATCCAAAATAAAACACCAGATGACTTTCTAGTAGAAGAAAAGGCACTAGAACT